CGACGTCTGAGGTCGGTGTCCTAGCGATCCCGCAGGGGGCGCCCCAGTCCGAGCGCGCCGCCCTCGGGGAGGCGGGAGGGCAGCCCTGGGCGGGCGAGGGCGGGGGTGTCCCGGCTATAAAGCGTAGCCGCCTCCCGCGGCGTCCGGGACATCGGGACCCCGGGCAGTCGGACGGGCGGGCGCGAGAGAGCCCGAGCACTCGGTTTCCCCGGGCCGGAGCCGGGGCAGGTGGGGGCGCAGGACCGGGGGATGCTGGGCTCGGTGAAGATGGAGGCTCATGACCTGGCCGAGTGGAGCTACTACCCGGAGGCGGGCGAGGTGTGTCCTCGGGGACCGCGGAGCGGGAAGGTGGGGGGCAGGAGTCGGGCTGTGGGCTTAAGTGGGGGCAGGGGCCGCAGTGTGTGCTCAAGGGGCCCAAGGAATCTAGTTGGGAGTCGAGGAGCTAGGGACACGGAGACCAGGTTTGGGAATTAGGGACGCGAGACAAGGCTGGAGAGCGCCTTTAGGCAAGGCTTAGATGGGAGGAAAATTTAGGCAAGGGTCAGGTCGCATCTTAAACCTGAGGGCCGGGTGTTGGGCCCTGAGATCCGAGGGATTAAAATGAACAATTCTAAGGCAGGAATCAGAGCTCCAGGGTAGGCGATAGAGCAGGAGGATTTCGGGAAATGGGGTTCAAAGGAAAGGGGGAAAGATAGGGACTAAGAGAAAGAGGGAGTCACCATTAAGGGAAGTCTGAGGTGGAAGGGAGCCAGGGCTAGAATACAGTGTTGAAGGTGGGAGTGGAGATCAGAATTGGGGTTCAGGGAAAAGGATCAGCTGGTAATCTAAGAAAGGATCAGAAATGGGGTTGGTGGATCAGGGGTAAGAGAGATTCTCTCCAGATGTAGTTTCCCTTAGGGAGTCTGAAATAACAGGTGGCCTAGATAGACCAACACTCAGGCCGTGTCAACATTGGGGACTAAAGAGCAAGTGATGTGGCCATCAGCATCTGCAGGAGAGGTAGTCAGTCCATCTTCACCCCCCTGCCCCCATTCATCACCCTCAGCAGAACTTACCCAAATCCAAGGCTGGAGGATTTCAAATCGTGCCCCTCCTTACTCCCCCAGCCGCCAATCTCCACGTTCCTAAAGCCCCCATCAAGCCCCATTTCAGATGAGGCTTCCCAGAGTAGGGGGCAGGGGCATATCCTAATTCCCTCAACCTAAGCCCATAGAAAGTCCTTTTCCAAATCTAGCCCATATTCCTCTTACTGCAAGGACTCTTGCTTTGCTCACTTGCTCTATAATCGAGATTGTGAGATTGGGGAGGTTGTCATGGGGGTCTGGACATGTGTGAGCCTGGAATGGTTTGCAAGAAGTCAAGATCTAGGGGTTCTGGGGAGCTCTGGTCTGGTTTTGAAACAGTTGAGTGGGATTCCTGGATCCCCAGGCTTGCAGGGCTTGGCATGGTGCCTGGGAGGCGCCAGTCCTGGGTCTGGGGAGGTGTGAGGTGCACTTGGGTTGGGGCAGGGCTGTCTAGGGAAGGGACTGGGAGCATTGAGAAGTGGAGGGTGGCTGGAGGTATCAGTTCTATGATGGGGAGAGCAGAGACCAGGGTGGGAGGTGGAGGCCCAGGTAATGGGGGGGGTCCCAGTGGCATCCCTGGAGAGCTCCAGGACTAAACCGAGGATTTAAGGTGACCAACTACAAATGAATGTTCCGGGGATACCTTAAGAAGTAACTGTTGGGGGGTGGAGGACTAGGCTGGAGGAGCTGTAGTTCAAAGGGATCCAAACTGGGCAGCCTAGAGGTGATCAGCATTTGGGGGAGTATTTTGGAAGAGTAGACATATGCATACCGTCTGAGGGTCTCCTGGGCCTTCCCATCAGGCAAACACCCTTCATCCTCTTGGGTCAGAACAATGGAGAGAGACACCTGCGCTCAGCCAGCCACAGAATTGAGGGTCCCCAGACCGCCTCTTGTCCCCTTCACCCTCCTGCTGGGTGAAGTAAACACCATGAGAGCCTTTGGATCCCTGTCTGGAGGGCATGGAAAGTTCTGACCCTGGGGTGTCCCCACTGGTCCAAGGTTCACGCAGATCAGCTGACCCAGTTGCTCCCCCATTTTAAAGGTGGGAAATATGAAGCCTCCCAAAGCTGGGTCTGGGACTAAAAACCAGGCTCTGGTTTCCCACTGTCCCTCTCTGCTCCCTGTCACACCCTTCTCCAGAAACAATAAGGAAATGAAAGGGGAGAAATTGCAGCCTCCTGGGTGAGGGTGCAGGTCCCTTGAGGGCTTCCCCCCAATCTCAGCCCCGCCCTGTAGGGGGAGATCCGGTTCAGACCCGGACATTAGGGGTTCATCCCAGTCACGGGCGTGGGAAAGCCTAGGGTGGATTAGAGCAGCTGGAGTGCTTGAGGTCAGACCTCAAGGAGGACTTCCGGGTGGGTAGTGAGCCAAAAAAGGAGGGCCCTGGGGTCCCAGAGAGCTCAAGGAGATTTAGAAACTCTCTGCAGATCCACCTGAGTCCATCACCTTTCCTGCTCATCCCTTCCCTTATTCTTGAGAGGGCAAAAGCTGCCAACCTGGGGAAACCAGTACACGGACCAGGGGAGGAACTGTGGCTCCAAGTTCAATGTGAGACCTCTGGGGAGACAGAGATGCTGAGGGAAGGAAGATAAACAGATGCGGAGATGTGCTGCAGGAGGAAGGGGTGGGCTGGGAGGGGAGATATGGGGGTGGGGGAGCTGGGGGGGGAGGTTGGGGAAAAATAGATGGGGGTGGACCTCGGGAAGAACAGACAGGGAAAGAAAAAGGAGGAGATAGACCTGGAGAGGAAGAGGAGTACACATACACCAAGAAAGGGAAAAACAGACAGATACACGGACTGGACCTTGGGGCCAGCAGGATCCGCATGGTTTCCACTAACCCATAGCCAAGGTGGCTCTAGCCAGAGCTCTAGCAGCACCCTAGCACCCTGAGACCCCAATTGGGACGGACTGGGGCAGATGGAAGTCTGAGGAGGAGAGGATGGAAGACAGTGGGTGAGCTGAGCTGTGGGTACATAAAGAGAGGCCACTGTGTAGCACACTGTGCGCTCACGGTCTTCCTCGGACTCTCAGCTCCAGGAGGACAGGCACTTCCACCTGTCTCCATTTCTGCTTTTTTATTTATTTTCTTTTTAAAATTTTTGAGGTGTAGATGGACATGATACTTTTATTCTATTTACTTATCTTTATGCGGTGCTGAGGATCGAACCCAGTACCTCTCTTGTGCTAGGCAAGCACTCCACCCTGAGCCCTAGCCCCAGCTATTTTGTGTGTGTGTGTGTGTGTGTGTGTGTGTGTGTGTGTGTATTTTGAGGTGCTGAAGAGGAAGCCCACAGCCTCACACACTTTTCCATGGAGTCACATTTCCAGCCCTTGCTCTCTGCTTTTATTGCAAGATCCACAACATAGGTCTGGGCCTCAACTTTTCAGCTGTAGCTGTAGAAGCTCAGAGCATCCTCACAGCACTTCCCCCAGAGTGTGGGTCTAAGGACATGAGGAGCTGACAGTTCCTAGGAAGTGCTTGGAGCGGTGCCTGGCATAGAGGTTGCTGATGACTACGTGTTGAACGGATCATTGAGTGACTGTATAGACGGTGATTTTGATTTTGGTGCTGGGGATTGAACCCAGAGAGACTTAACCACTGAGCAACATCCCCAGCCCTTTTTATTTTGTTTGAGACAGGATCTCACTAAGTTGCTTAGGCCTTGTTAAATGACTGAGGCTGCCTTTGAGTTTGCCATCTTCCTGCTTTAGCCTTGTGAGTCATTGGGATTACAGAAATGTGCCACCATACCTGGCTACAGGGTGATTTTTAAAATGTGCAGAATGACTAACATATTTCATTGAGCTAACATGTACTTTTTCCCCATTTGAACATTTCTGAGAATGGGTTATGTTGTATAATCCATGATATCTATTGATTTTTAACTGTGGGGTTTTTTTTTTCATTTATATTGACATATAAAATAATGCTATAGCTTACAGTCAAGTGTTAGATTTGATGGTACATAGAAATACATATGTTAGGTAAAACTGTGATTTCTGATCTTTTTTTGGGAGTGGGGTGAGTACTGGGAATTTGACCCAGGGCACTTAACCACCGAGCCACATCCCCAGCCCTTTTTATTTTTTTATTTTGAGTCAGGATCTTGCCAGGGTTCTGAGGCTGGCTTTGAACTCACGATCCTCCTGCCTCAGCCTCCTGCTGCTGGGATAACGACCAGCACCACCAAGCCCCGCTGATCTTGATCTATAAAAACAGTAATTTTTAAACTGACGTGTTGATGTGTGCCCACGGTCCCAGCTACTTGGGAGACTGAGGCAGAAGAATCACTTGAGCCCAGGAGTACAGGGCCAGCCTGCGCAACAGAGTAAGACCACTCAAAAACAAACAAACAAATAAACAAACAAAAAAAAACCCCTGTAATTTTATAACTTAAAAGATTGATAAAGAGCTCTACAGATGATGAGATTATTAGCGATTTATATTAAGTACTTATTAAAATTGAAAAGTACAAATTTATTAGATAAATTAGTTTCTCAATTGACTTGGTTAATTTTGATTGATTTCTCATTTTTTTAAGTCAAAAAAATTGATTCTGCAAGTTTCGCACAGTGGCAATGTCATAGCCAACGACATTTGTCTGAGGTGTGAGGATTGCTAATGGAAAACGACTTTCCCCAATATAGTCGGCATTGGCAAGTTTTGATAGTCTCTATAGAGACTGAATTTTTCTAAAAAACTGATTTTATTTGGTTTCAGGATGTCTCTACACTTTTAAAATTTACTGAAGATGGTAAGAAGTGGTCTGCAAAGGTTTGCCTAGCATATATGAGGCCCTGGGTTCCATCTCTAATACCATATTTAAAAAACAATGAAGATAGAAACTGTTTGGGGTTCTGTGTATCGATATTTACCATATTCAAAATTAAGATGAAGAGATTTTAAATATATATTAAGTCATTTTAAATTAACAATCATTTATTAATACAAACAACATGTTTTTATTAAAGCAACTCTATTTCAAAACTTTAGTGAGCCAAGTGGCACGGTTTCACATTTTGCCAAGTCAAGTCTGGCTTGATAGGAGAGCTGGAGTCTCATAGCTGCTTCTCATAGTCCCATCTTTTGCAATGTCGCTTGCCATGGAACTTCTGGAAAAGTCCACCGGACATCGTGAGATGGTTCTGAACATGGTTTTGACCTCATGGACACCCTAAAGGTGTCCCTAAAGGGTTTCAGATTTCCCCAGGGTGTCCCTGACCACAATTTGAGAGCCTCTTCGAACATGCCCTTGATGATGTGGGAGCACTGGTGGGGGCTGGGGGTACAGAGCTGGTGTACAGGGAGGGAGAAGAGACTCTGAAAGACAGCTGCCTTCAGAGGGAGATAATGAAAGAAGAGGTTTTTATAGGAGGTGGACAGGCGGCGCAGACACCTGCTAATCCCTTGCTGACCCGCAGCGTGGACACCCGCTAACCCTTCCCCCTATCTCTTTCTCTTTCTGCAGGTCTACTCTCCAGTGACCCCAGTGCCCACCATGGCCCCTCTCAACTCCTACATGACCCTGAACCCTCTGAGCTCTCCCTACCCCCCTGGAGGGCTTCCCTCCTCCCCACTACCCTCAGGACCCCTTGCGCCCCCAGCTCCTGCAGCGCCCCTGGGGCCCACCTTCCCAGGCCTGGGTGCCAGTGGTGGTGGAGGCAGCAGCTCAGGGTACGGGGCCCCGGGACCTGGGCTGGTGCACGGGAAAGAGATGCCCAAGGGGTACCGGCGGCCCCTGGCTCATGCCAAGCCGCCATATTCCTACATCTCACTCATCACCATGGCCATCCAGCAGGCCCCAGGCAAGATGCTGACCCTGAGCGAGATCTACCAGTGGATCATGGACCTCTTCCCTTACTACCGGGAGAACCAGCAGCGCTGGCAGAACTCTATCCGCCACTCTCTGTCCTTCAACGACTGCTTTGTCAAGGTGGCACGCTCCCCAGACAAGCCGGGAAAGGGCTCCTACTGGGCCCTGCACCCCAGCTCCGGGAACATGTTTGAGAATGGCTGCTACCTGCGTCGCCAGAAGCGCTTCAAACTGGAGGAGAAGGTGAAGAAAGGGAACGGCGGGGCCTCTGCCACCAGGAACGGTACAGCGTCTGCCACCTCCACCACCCCTACTGCCACAGTCACCTCCCTGCCCCAGCCCCAGCCTCCACCCCCCGAGGCAGAGGCCCAGGGAGGGGAAGATGTGGGGGCTCTGGACTGCGGCTCGCCCCCTTCCTCCACACCCTACTTCACTGGCCTGGAGCTTCCCGGGGAGCTGAAGCTGGACGCGCCCTACAACTTCAACCACCCCTTCTCCATCAACAACCTGATGTCGGAACAGACCCCGGCACCTCCCAAACTGGACGTGGGGTTTGGGGGCTACGGGGCTGAGAGTGGGGAGCCTGGGGTCTACTACCAGGGCCTCTATGCCCGCTCCCTGCTCAATGCGTCCTAGCAGGGGGATGGGAACATGGTGGTGGGGTATGGCTGTGGTTCACGCCAGCAGGCTCTTGGGGCCTGGTCCTTCTGGTGACACGTTGCTTGTCCCATTGGCTAACACCTCGTTTGGTCTATTACTTACTGTGATGATCCACTGGGTACTGTGATAACCACCATGGACATCCTGGTGGGCCCGTGGGGTACTGCGAAGACTGTCATGTTGATTGATGTTATGGGTTGATCCGTGGGGTGCTTTGATGGCCGCTATCTGGGACAACATCTTGGGTGGCTCTTTGGATTCTGTGATGGACATTTTGATGGACACTTTGGGCACAGTGGTGATATCATTTCAATGGCATATTTGGCCCATTGGGGGCTCTGGTGTCCTTGGCCACCATCCTGCATGACATCTCTTTTGGCCCATGGGGTGTTTGGATGTTTACCTGTGGGCCAGGTGACACCATTGTGCACCAGGATGACCACACAGCCCCGCGTGCACCATGTGGTCGGTATTCTCTTCAGTGCGGGTTGGGTGGGGGATGGAAGGGAGAAGATTCCTTGGTTGTCTCTGAGGCTCATCCCCCACCCTGGTCCAGGAGACCCCAGAAGTGGCTGGTCAGGGTGTGGGGAATTTCTACTGAAGTCTAGTTCTTGCCTGGGAAGCGGGATACTGGCTGTGTGACCATTAAAGGCACCGTGTCTGCCTCTCACTGAACGTTTCTTTTCCTTTCCTGGCGGGCCCTGCAGAGCTTGAACACCTGGCTTTCTGTTCCCCTGTCCCCTCTCCTTTCTGCCCCCAAGAGCTGGCTTCCTTTGGGGGAAGGGCTGAGGGAGGCACTGACCTGACCTTTGGCTCTTTGCTGTCCCTGACCCCAAGGACAGTTTGTTCATCGATAGCAGCCCCCGCAGCAGTGGGGCCAGAGCAGCAGGGGGAGGTGGCTCTGTGGTGACCAAGGTTATCTCCCTGCCCCCACTTCGCAGATACTCACCTTTAGCTCTGAGGCTCGGAGCCTAGGGGCTGCTCACGTCTTGGTTAGGCTGGGGGTGGGGGTAAAGGTTAGATGAGGTGTTGAACTGGAGGCCGTGTGCTTGTTGGAGGGTATGAGTGCAGCCTGCTCTATGGCTGTGGAGCATGGCTGCGTGGCAGGGTTCCTGCGGTCTGCTGCAGGGGATCTACTTGCTTGTAGCCCTCTGTTGGGCGGGTTTGTGTGTCTGTCCATACTGTGGGCATGGGCTCACTCTGGGTCACAATATCAGACTCGTGTGTGTGTCTTTTCCACGTTTCTCTGTGCACCTCTCCCTGGGCCTCACACCTGCAGGTCCCTGTGTATCACTGTGTCTCCATACTGCTTCCACAAGAGTGTGTGGGTGCGGCTTCCATGTCTGCCTGCCGTTGTGTGTGTGTGTGTGTGTGTGTGTGATTCCTGTCTCAGCTGTGTGCCTGTCACATTGTGTTTGTGTGTGAGTTTGTGCGGAGTTTGCTGGCTGTCCCTTGCAGGCAGGTGGGTGTGTGGGGAAAGAGCTGGGTCCTCCTCTCTGGGCTTGGGGTCTGGGGTATCTGTTCCTCCAGGGCTCGCCCAGGTGAGGCTGTCCCAGAAACACAGCCCTACACTCCACACCCCTCTTTTCATTATGGAAACTGAGGCCCAGAATGGGAAGGGTCTGGGTCAGGTCATTCAGCAGGGCTGAGACAGGTGGGCAGGTTAGTCGTGTGTGTGTGTGTGTGTGTGTGTGTGTGTGTGTGTGTGTGTGTGTGGCGGAGGTACTCAGGTTGAACCCTGGGGTGCTCTACCACAGTGCTACATCCCCAGCCCTTTTTAATTTTTATTCTGAAACAGGGTCTCACTAAGCTAAGTGCTTGAGGCTGGCCTCAAATTTGCAATCCTCCTGCTTCAGCCCCCTGAGCTGCTGAGATCACAGGTGTGTGCCACTGTGCCAGGCACTGACGGTGGCTTGTCCTCACTTTGCTTTTGCCTTTCTTGGTGGCATTGGCTTCTCTGGTCGCCCTGACCACTCATTCATTTCTTCAGCCAGCCAGCCATTCCGTCATCCAAAGACCAGAGACTCTGTTCAGCCACCTGTGAGTGAGTGACTGCCTGCTCCTCCGGTCTCCCAGTTCTCTCCTTTCTCCTAGTCTCAGTGTCACTCTGTCCCCAACTCTTTCTTCTCTCCCTCTTCTGTCATTCTCCCCTCTCTAGCTCTTCCTTTCTCTTGGGTTCCTCTCCTGCGATCTTTTTCTGGCTCTCTGGTCTGGCTTCCCTGGCCTCCCGCCTCCTCCCAGGTCCGGAGTTTCCGCCTCTCTCTACCTGCCACCTCGCAGGCCAGGCCCTCTATTTCTGTCGCTGTGCCCGCCTGGCCGGCTGCGTGTCACCCCCGCCCCCTGCCGTGCTGGCACCCCGTCGTCGCCGTCCACCAGCCTCGCTGTCCTGGGCAGGCCGGGGAATTCCTCCTGGTTCCTGGAAAAAACAACTGGGGCCGAGAGAAAGGCCCTCAGTCTCCCGGGCCCCCGCCCCCTCCCGCGGGCCTGGGGGTCTCTCCGGAGTCCTGGGCCCGAGGCAGGAAGCCCTGCGGTTTCTGGCTTCTCCCCGCGGCCTCCGGATCTGGCCCCCGCCCCCCGCCAACAGCCCAAATATTATTCCGCGGGAGGAGTCGGTGGTGGCGGGAGGAGGCCCAGGCTGAAAGAGGCTTTCAGGGCGGCCAGGCCTGGGGCTTCCTGTCCCCAGGCTCGGGCCTCAGGCCGCCCCAGTAGGGACCTCAGGTGGCCGGAGGGGCGGGGTGTTGTTGTAGGGTCCTTAGGGGAAGGTGGGGCCATCCCTCAGGGTGTCTGGTGGCCACCGGCCGGCCTGGCGTGGGCAGGTGTGACCCTCACCCAGGGACAGCCGGCTGATGTCCAGCGTGGAAAAGTACCACGGTCAGACACGGGACGCATGGACAGACAGGAGGACGCCAGGGATGAGGGATGGAGGGGTAGCCATGGGGACACAGCCGGGCTTGGGCTAGGCGCCTGAGGTGACACAGTCCAAGGGAGGGGCCTTTGGGTGGGGAAACAGAGGATAGGGCAGGGTCCCTTCTGTGGGCAGAGGGCCACCCTTGCATCAGAAGGTTTGAGACAGTAATGAGGCCACCGAGGATAATATATAATAATTAGAAGCTCCTGAGGCTGGCCCAGAGGCAGGCCCTAACCCCAGCTACTGGGGAGGCTGAGGCAGGAGGAGCCAAGTTCAAAGCCAGTCTCAGGAACTTAGGGAGGCTAGAAGCAATCTAGTGAGACCCTGTCTCAGAATAAAAAATAAAGGGCTGGGGATGTGGTTCCATGGTTAGTGCCCTTTGGGTTCAATCCCTGGTACCAAATAAATAAATTAATTAATAAATAAAAATTTTTAAAAGCTAAGGTGTGGGTGGAGCTGTGTCTAGTGGTAAGGCACCCCTGGGTTTGATACCTGGGAGGTGGGGGCTACTAGGGTTACCACGTGGCCAGCATTGTATGAGCCCCCTACAGAACCGATCCATCCAATCCCTTCCAACTCCTCCCCCCTTTATCGTTGGTAAAACTGAGGCACAGAGGGGAGAAGTGACTTGCTCAGCGTCACACAGCCAGTGAATGGTGTGTCAACTGACCCCAGGTGGTCTGGCTCAGAGTCAGTCTCATAGCCACAGCCGCTCTGGAGATGGGAGGGACAACAGCAGTACAATGGCCTGGGGGCCCCGGCCGTCTGTGGTGGTCACCCCTGCTGCCTGCCACAACTTGCTGCTATGGAAGGCAGCACCCCTGAGGCCAGCGGTCTGGGTGCTTTACATACATGTGCACTGCTGTGCTTGTCACTGGGCTTCACTCATGAGCTTGGGTGTCGGGTGTCTGTGGGCGTCTCTCTTCAGGGTGTCCACCACTGGGTTGATGTAGGGGTCACTGTGTTCATGTGTCTGTCTCTGTTCTGCCTGTCATGGTCTTCTGAGTCTGTCACTGTGGGTCTGCCTATATCTGACACTGTGTGTCACTGTGTCTGTCCCCCTCTGCTATGTGTCACCATCTGCCCAGGTGTCACTGTGGGTGTTACTCACCACGCAGGCCACAGGTGGGCGTGTCGGGCCCACTGGTGCCAGGGCTGGGGCCCAGCCCATCCCACCCTGGCTGCCTGGGCCAGGCCAGGCGCCTGTTTGCAGTGCCTGCCCCAGGTAAACACCAAGATCCGGCCCGAGGCCGCCTCCCTGGCCTCTGCCCCTGCCCCTCTGCCTGCTCGGCTGGGCTGGGCTGGACCAGTCTACAGACCCCCTCCCCCTGGAGACGTGTCCTGGCTGCCCCCTGCCCTTGACACCAATGTCCCAAGTCCCTGCCTCGACCCCAGCCTGCTGTCTCTTCCTCTCTGGGTGCCTCTGACCTGTTTCTTTCCGTCCCGATTGTCTCTCACCCGGTTTCTCTGTAGCTCTGCCTTTCTCTGAAATGACCCTTGTCTTCATTTTGTCGGCGTCCCTCTCCCTGTGGCTTTTTTGCTCCCCAGTGAAGTTCCATTTCTTCAATGTGTCTCCAGAGGAACCAGTGACTCTGTCTGCCACTGCCTGGCTCTGGGCTGTCAGAGCCCCCAGGATCAGTACCCTTCTCGCTAACTAAGTTTCTTAGAGTCTCGCTCTTAGCCACTATGTCTGCAGGTCTCTGAGCCCCCAGCCCCCACAGGGGCCGACTCTGCCATGCCAGGGCCCTTAGGGGAGTGTGCGGCCCCCAGCCTCCCGCCCCAGCCCTCTGGTATATCTATATAAAGGTATATGCACATATTATTTATATCTGTACTGGGGCAGGAGGGGCAGACACTGGGGCCTTTGTGCAGCCGCTGCCCACTGCTCGCCTGCTTGCCACTCCTCTCCCTTCGTCCCTGCCGCCT